TTTAGTTCTCCTTATGTCAGAAAAGTACAGATTGTAAGTTTGAGTGATGACTAGCATCTTGCACCTTGCATTTTTCTTTTCCTGCGCCAGTTAACGTTTCCTGAATTACGTTTGCTAAGTCTTTCAGTGCAGTTGATACCTCTTAACTATTTTAGGGACTTCAAATTGGTCTGGTGACTACTTCATTGGTGGTACGACGGGAGCCGCCATTGTAATCAAGCAAAATGGCGAAAAGAGGGCTTTGGTGAAAGAGATGCAGGTGAGATATATGTGATATGGCTATGATATGTGGCTTTCTGCATCAAGCTAGACGAGCAAAAGGCACAACGTCCATATTCGGTTCAATAAAATTATTTTCTTCAACTTAACCTAATTCTTCTGTTTAGGCAATTTTTGAGAGAGATTGGAGCAGCGATTATGCTCATCCATTGGAGGACTATTTCACTGGATGTATAGAACGAGGAACTCAAGCGGATTTTTGCGAGAATGAGAAGGATCCCAGCCTTTTTGAATCATCTTTAACTGACTAAAAGTCGAGAACAGTTGTCTGAGTCAAATCTATACCAGGAGGGTAAGTAGTCACCGGATTATCTACACGATCCGAGCGAGAGCTGGCATTAGTATTGATTCGAAGCATTAAAAATATTGGAAGCTTTTATCTCGAGCTAAATCCTATACTGTTTCGCTAATTACAGCGTTATAATTATTCCCTCAGGTATGTTAAGACTATAGGATTATTTGGATTGATTAATCGTCTTTTGCGCGTCTAAAATATCTGTATATTTTTTCTACTTCTAGGAATTCTTCTAGTATCTGCTTCATTCTTATCTTACTTTGAATCAAAGTTCTAAAGTGGTATCTTATACACAGGTGTACATTTTTATGTGATTGCTTTTTTCTTTCTTTTTATTATGTATCTTCACTAAAGAGCAGAAATTTTACAATATTATTGAATGACAAGTACCTCTCACCATATATAAGCGTTTTGCAAAATAATTGTTGAAAAACAATAATTCTAGAATGCACTGTTCATTTTCTCTGCTCTATGCTTATTCACTTGCTCAATGTTTTCCAGAATATCTTGCTTCATTTGATTGTTCCTATTCTGGGTCAAAGACGTGGTCACCTCTTTCTGTGTTAACCTTCTCTGCTTTTGTGTTTCTCATTTTTCACATGTTCTGATGTTAGACTGTTGGCATTTCGATGAATTTGAATATTATAGCGATTTATAAAAGTATAATTTATTGTAGATACAGATTCGAAGACATCTAAACGATAGATCGATCAACTATGACTACTGCATTAGTAGAACAATTGAGTTATGGTGTCGGGAGTTGAGTTCGCTTTGATAGGGCATTTCATGAAGATCACTTTCATACATTTAGAGAGGAAAAACATGGGACGACATGTGAAAAAAAAAAGACTCTAAGGACACGGGCAACAGGAAGGTTTTCAATGGACAAGAAACTCATCACATTAGACATAATATAACAAAATAAACGCGATACTCCTCATTCGAGTACGAATGCCCCTCAGACTTTGAGATCGTATGAAAAAGAAATGCAGTAAAAAAACATGTCGTGGGGATGGAGTTTAGAGGAAGTTATTGGAACCAATGCGCGCATTCAATAAACCTATTCATTGGTATAGTTAACAACAAAGAGAACACAAGTAAATGGAACCATAAACAACGCCAAAATGACTACCCAAACCAGAGGAGCACATCTGGACAATAAAATGCCAGCAATATGTGAACAGAAGTGACAGTATGACGGTGAAATTGAAATCATAATCAATTCCTAGTAGCTCAAACAGCGGCAGTTGAGGGTGGAGAGAGAGTGGTCCTATATATGCAAGTTCTACATAAGAGAAAGATGCTACGAGCTTCATACATAGGCAGCAGCTTGCCAACCCCGTTCATTCGACATCACTTCCTCGCCTTCACTGCATACTTTTGAGGAGAATATTGCAGGGGTACGAGGAGTATCGCCGTTAGACGTTCGCGGACTACCGGGCGTCTTTGCGGACGTTCCAGTGGGAGAGACTGCGGATAAAGCAGGCGATGGTGGGGAGGTGACAACG